TTTTTGTTTTTTGGCTCATGGTTTCCGAAGTTCAATCCATGTTTGACTGGCCATGACAAAAAAAAACCATCATGGCAAAGATAAACTTCTCAGCTCATGGCAGTTCAGGAGAGAGATGGGTGGAGTGAGAGGGGGATTAGATAAACCTAAGATAAACCCTTCCAGGGCACATCCCCAGTGATCTACTTCCTCCAACTAGATCCCACTTTGCAGACATCCATCCTGCTCTCAGTGGATTGATTAATCTGTCAAATGGTTGAGGATGGACCCATGATGAAGTCAGAACCCCTGTGATCCAATTATTGCCTTAAAGTCCCACCTCTGAACCTTACTGTATTGATAACCATCCTTTCAACACATGAACTTTCGGGGATTTTGCATAACCAGACCATAAGAACTCTGTAATGCCTCCCACTGTGGATGGGGTCACCTCCTATACCATCTGTCAACCAGTTCAGACATGTTAGATAGATACTCTAGCCAATGATATAGTAAGAAATATTTCACATGCAATGCCCTGAAATTGGCTTGTACATTTGGGTTTTCTCTTTTGTACTCCTGCCACTGATATTAGAAAGAGGAGCTAAGGGTAGTTCAGTGGTCCCTGGAGGAGAAAAGAAACACTGAGTCAAGCTGAATTGTCCAGGTAGCCCAAATCAGCCAATAGCCTTCTATTCCACAGATGCATGAACAAATCCAGCCAAGATCAAACAGAGTCCAGGTCAGATCTGTCAATATTAGCCTCATGACTTCTGGGCTCATAATGAATACTTGTTACTTTAAGCTACTGAATTTTCTTTTTATTACAGCAACATTTAACTGATATTAGCAGGTTTCTAGATTTTTATTGCTTGAACTCTCCAATCTCTCTTATTGGGATTTACAAATTTAGGAAAGGGAGAGAGTACTTTACCAACTGCAACCTGCACTCTTTTTGCTCCTGCACTCATTGCATTCTGGCCTCTACACTCTCCAGTCCTAAGCTTTCATCATCTTTCTTTAGTCTTCGTCATTGATGATCTTCCAAAATTTTCTTTGCGTTTAATATGTCTCCTGTAATTTGTGTGTATGCTCAGTGTTTCATTTTATTGTTCTTCCTTAATTTTCCTGAATCCTCCTCTTATTTATTTTAATCCTATAACTATGCAAAATATAAATATTATCTCTTCTATTTCCTTCATTTTAATTGTCATCACTAAATAATATAGCCTGGGAATATGGAATACACTTGGAAATAATGAAAAAAAAAAACCCTCACAGTTCACAATGTCTCCAAGAGTAGAAAAAGAAAAGCCATATGGGAATTATTAAATACCTTCAACTGAATAATATTAAAAATTTTATTAATTCAAACTTTTATGATTTTGTAATCATGATTTTGGCATTGATTTTGGAATAGAAAAAATGTAAAAAATAGAAACCAGAAGCAGATTATGATATTTAGTATATTGATATGATAATTCATATTGAGTTATGTGTTCCTTCAGAAATGTTTATATATGGAATATATAAAGTATTTCCTTAACTCTATAAGAAAAAGTCAGACACCTTCAAAGGAAAGTGAGTAAATGAAATGAACAGACAATTCATAAAAGAGAAAAGTAGAATTTTTAATAAACATGAAAGTGTGTTAAATTTCATAGCAGAGTAAAGCACATGATAACACCAGGAACTTTTACACTGAGCATAATGGCTGAGTGAAAATAGTCTTTATCTATACCAAGTTATAGAGAAACAAAGCTTTTACATTGTTAGTGAAAATATAAATCTACCTACCTCCAAGGAGGATTTCAATTTGATAACATCTAGTTACTTTAAAGGTGCATGTATAATAAACTTCAGCAATTCTACTAGTAGATTTAGTGTAGGACAGTGGTCAGCCTTGTTGCTGCTTGAACTCTGATTTTCCTTACTGGCTTTTGCAAATTCAGGAATAAGGAGAGTACTTTACTCTTCATCCACTTATACCCTGTTTGCTCCTCAACTCATTACATTCTGGCTTCTGCACAACTCTAGTCCTGAGCTTTCAATAGCCTTCAGCATTCTTGACTTTGTCAGTTGGTTATTTTTTAAACAGTTTTATTGGAACTTGGCCATGCTGACTCACTGTGGGCCTGTTGTCTGGTTGCTTCACACTAGAATAGCAGAATTGAATAGTTGTGATACTGACCACAGGCCCACAGATCCTAAAACGTTTATTAACTAGCTACTTATGGAAAAAGTTTGCTGCTCTGGTCTAGAGTAAGTCTAATAACTTTGTACTAGAATTGTTGAAGGAGAATATTCACAGCAATATTCCTTTTAACAGTGATAAGCTGGAAACAGAGGAAATATTGAAAGACAAGGAAAATACAACTCTCTAGTGAGATAGCATTCCAATACAATGTTATATACAATGAAACTGAAGCCAAGTGCTGGATACATTGCAGTGAATAAGCCTTAACAAAGTACCAGAAAAATGGCAATGTCAGAAAAATAGACACAATATGATACCATTTAATAAATGCTTACAATGTGACACTTAGTATATTTATTTATATTGTGAATTTGTAAGTATAACTATGGGAATGAATACACCAGATTCAAGTTAATTCTTTCCTCAGAGAGTAGGGGAGGAAGGAGGGTTCCAGACTTTGTGATGTTTCAATTAGGTGATGGTTGTAAGCTTTGTGTAATAATCTTTATGTTCTTTGATGTTTCTGAAAATGAAGTGAAATAGAGTACAAGTGAAAGCAGTGTCCCTTTCTTAAATATTTGACAGTAGTTGGGCAGTAGAGGAGCAAATATATAATTGCAATAAAAACCACATCACAGTAGGGGAGAGCTTTATGAAAGTACAAAATCCCCTTCTTCCCATACTCCCTGTCAAGGGTTGGAGGGGAAGGGAGGGGGCATGGGGTAATTAAAGATGGTGCAATGTGATGATTATTAGTATCCAAAGTATAGGTATGAAGACACGAATTGGTGTGAATATACTATGTATACAACCAGAGATATGAAAAATTGTGCTCTATATATGTAATAAGAATTGAAATGCATTCTGCTGTCATATATATATATATATATATATATATATATAAAATAAGTACAAAGTCCACCCCCCACCACTGACTCCAGGTGAAGCAATGGGGGTGTGATTGTGAGTAGAGTTCCCAGTGCAGGCAGGTGGAGGGCTTGCTGTATTGAAGGAACAACAAGCAGCTAGGACTGTTAAAGTTGGCCAGAGGGTAACATGAGTTTGCCTAGTGGGAGTGTGATTAAAAGGTACAGATCACATCAGTAGATTGACAGGGCTCACTTGGGACATTGTGAGGATTCAAAGATGGATATTGCTCCTGAAAACAAATTTTAGAAAAAAATCGCCTGAAACTTTTCTGTTTGAAAACTTCAAGAATGTCCTATGTGGTAGATCTCCCGGAAATGATTGCCACATCAGTAGCTTCAGAAACAGATAAAACTTACTCTACTTTTACAGAAATAGAAAAAATTGAATTTCAGGTTTTATAAATAGTTTTAAAACAGCTTCAGCTTGCCTGGAAAAATATAACACCACTTATATTTAGTTTAGGATAAAATTTGAGGGACCTTGTTTAAAAGAAATACTTGAATAAAAACTTCTAGTACAAAGCATTATCTTTTCATCTTTTTCTTCTTCTTTTGCTTCCATTTAAATGGAATTAAACATTAAAAAGTAAATAAGCATACCATGGAGAGAGGATAGATTCGATTATTAAATTTTCCTTCAGGATTAAGGGCATAGCCCAGAGCCACTGTTCATCTTCTACTCATTATCTGTGGTTGATGCTTTGCTTTTATCATCACCCATTCAAATTTTGATGAATCATTGAAAATCATCACCTGATTCAAATTTCTGTAAAGGATATGATGTTTTCATCATATGGCTCTTTTAATATGTTTTTTTTTAAATCAGTTAAGTGAAATTCTCAATTGCTAGGATATTTATTTCCAAATATGTGATGACTGGTTTTGTGCTCAAAGGATAGTTTGGGAATTTCCAATCTCAGGTGTGTAATTGAACATTTTAATTATTTAAAATGTAAATGTACAAACATACATTGGCAAAAATTTTAACATCCAATAGATTGTTAATGTCAATCACAATTGTGAATTGTGTATTTCATTTATCATACATACATTCTTTTAAGACAGTGGGAGGAAAAGAAAATATTAGGAAAGAAAAGAGGAAGAGAGAGAGAGAGGTTCATCTAAATTAAAGGACTAAGGAATGATAATAGAGAAATTGATCACTAGCTAGTCTCAATGAATATTTGAAAGTACATTTTAACCTGAGAATATCTACTACAAAATATTCATATTTTGGGGTCCAGTAACTTGGTAAAGTACTTGCTTAAAACTAATTTCACAAATAAACTTTATTGAAATCATTCCTTATCACATTCTTGTTAACAATATGATATCCCACTATATTTTATTACAAATGAAATATGGTATTCTACAGTTTCTTTGGCAACAGGAAATGATGACTCACACAGTTCTGACAGTGTGCTTAAAAGTCATTTCTTTTCCTTTCTCTTTCTCCCCCTTCCTCCTTTCTTCTTATTTATTCATTTTTTTCTCCTAGAAGTCTACCTGCCCATTTTTTCTTGAGCTAACCTAATTAAAACATCCTATCCAGACCCTGCCCTAGCATATGCCTTCTCCAAGAAGTTTTAAACTATTAGATGCAGTAAAGCAGTTTGTCTGAGAAGTTTTTCAACTGAAAGAGGCCAGATACAGTAAATTTCTTATTTTCTTTTCAAATGACTATGTAGCTAACTATATAAATACATATATTCTATCCCATTCTAACTGGCAACACTTATTGACAAGCTAAAGGTGTAATCCTTTGGAGGTAAAATTTACTTCTCTCACCATAGCTCTCTGTCAACTATTTAGAACATTATTTTGGTTGGAATTTTATAGGGTCCTGTTATATCTAAAATTTTGTTATTTTCAAAGAATGGTATTTTGTATTTCAGGAATACACTATAGATGTTTTCTTTCGACAAAAATGGAAAGATGAACGGTTGAAATTTAAAGGACCTATGAATATCCTTCGACTTAACAATTTAATGGCTAGCAAAATTTGGACTCCAGATACCTTCTTTCACAATGGCAAAAAGTCAGTAGCTCATAATATGACAATGCCAAACAAACTGCTTCGAATCCAGGATGACGGGACTCTACTGTACACAATGAGGTATGTTTGCAGGCTTGATGTGGCATATAATACTGAGAAGTCTATACATCAAACCCCTAGGCAATGCAGTTGTCAGATATTAGCAAAAGTTGAACATTTTGCTAACAGATAATTGAAGTACCCATAATATGCTTTGTACATGGTTGGATATGTAAAAAATGCAAAAAATAGTATTTACAAATTCAATTTTAATCACAATATTTTCGAGCTTAAGACTGCCTTAGTTATTGAGGGTTTATGTTTTGGTTATTAATTCTTCAACACTGCATTTTAACCAAGTATGGTTTTAATACCTTGACTTTAATTTTGTTTATATCAGTATGTAATTTCATTTTCTTATTCCATCAGCTATCCCATATTTATATTCCATCAAGTTTAAGTGATTTTTCAAGCATCATTTTACTTAGTTTAATATTTTGGTCCCCCTTATGAAGTTTCCCTAGGAAAAAAATATTTGAGAGTTCTTGATTACTAAGGCTTATAAGTATATGGAATACCATAAGCATATACACTAGATTGGACCATGCAAAATTGCCATTTTATAATCAAAACATGTCACACAGCATCAATTTCATATGGTACAACTTTAATGAAATTATCAAAAGTTATACAGTTGTATTCTTACAACTATTCCATTTTAACTATTCTCATGGATATTTTAAATATCCATGAGAATAGTTAAAATGAGTTAACTATTTAAATGAGTTAGTTGTATTATGAAAGAAAGAAAAAAGTAACAAGTAAAATGATGCAGAATGAAAAGTTAATTAAAGATTTAAAGACTGGATAATTGTTAACATTGTGTATGCAGATATTTGTATTCCATGCATTTGTTGAGTTACTCATTTCATATGCAAAGCAAGTGCTCAATTTCAGTTATGAAAGTTATTTAAGAAGGGCAATAATACAGCCCTGTACTATTTCTGATCTGGAAAGGAACCACTCCTGAGGACTCATTACTAGATGGCCATTACCTAGAATGGAACTGTTGGCTATTCTTTCTGCCTCTCTCACTGAATCTACAATTATCTTCAGATGCAGTACCCCTGCTGACTTTACAATTTGATCACTCATTCTTATGGATTAAAGTATGATTAGAAATTTGGTATTTAAGCAAGATATATGCACAGAACATATAAAAGTTTACAAAATATTGCATGGGGCTGTATTTAAGTACTCTCTTAGAAATATATATCATGTATGAATCGTTGGTGACATTTGCTCTGCCCAATTAAAACAGATCATTCTATGAGTTCCTTTTAGAGCTTACTTTATTCACTTTATCTTTCTGTGCAATGGAGTAATTGAAAGCTTTCTTTATAAAAAATCCTACAATTATTCTTTATCATGATATTTATCATATTTAGATATAGAAAAATATATTTAACTTTCACAATTTGTGAGCATAATATAGACATTGATTTAGTATCAACAAGATATCCTAAGAGATGCATATATTTACATCTTTATATCTATGTACACAATTGGCATATTTGGAAGGGAGTTCCTCTCAACCAATATTGAGCTCTTATATTTGCTGCAGTTGTTGATGAGATGATGGGAAAAATGGCATTCATTTTATGATGGCATTTTAAATATTTGTTAAGATTTTAAATATTAATAGTAAGGTTAATGGGGAAACAGCCCTTCAAAAATGCATATAGAATTTTTTTGCTTCATAACAAACTACTGAGTAGAAAGTGACAATGTAAAGTATGACTTTAATAACCATTATTGTTATTTTGTTCATATTTTGTATATGCCAGTGTCTTCTGAGGGAACTCCTAAATGTGAAAGAAAAAAATGTATTTAAATGTGAAGTAGCCTAACATGATGCTGTAATGAAAGTCCTACCTCATCATTAACTCTATTGACAACAATGACTTTTCGAGTGATTTTTCTTGACTTGCCAATTTACTTAAACAAAGAGTGGAATTTTGACTTTTAGGCTTACAGTTCAAGCTGAATGTCCAATGCACTTGGAGGATTTTCCAATGGATGCTCATTCATGTCCTCTGAAATTTGGCAGCTGTAAGTACAAGGATGAAAATATATGCTTTGGGTCAATAATATCAGTAATAGTCAGCAGTGCTGCTGAGTTGTGTAGTTTCCTCTCATGTTAAGAAATGCTTACTATTTGCTGTAATAAAAGACATGCTGGTTTCCCTCGAAGAACTAATTGGCTAGCCCTTTGTACTCTCAAGAATTTTAATCATGGTGCTTAAATGATCACTTCTTTTAATGTGATAAGGAACAACATGTGTGTTTTACATGTGTAAAATTAGACCAGGAGCTCCTTTAAGGTGAGGGCTGTAGTTAATTTCTTTTCTAGTGCTAGAATATTTTTTAAAAATGCAAAATAAATGTCTTTTTTCATCAACTAAGAATGAATTGCAAAAGATAGATTCTATTTATTTGTCATCAGCCTGCTGCAAAGGACAGTCACAGGAACAGGGTCTGTGTAGTTGTCTTTTACTGTCTAAATAATGGAAGGGATATTTTTCCTTAAAATAAATGTAAAGATGATGTAGATGGATTGCTACACAGGCACCTTCTGTACTTAGAACATTTCCAAAAAGGCTCTGTGCCTTTGGCTATTCTTTAGGTCCCTGGGTTATATCTTGTATGTCAAGCTGAAGCATGCACACTCCCGGAATAATGGAAAGGGGGGGAAGGTCAAATCCTCCTCCTAGGCTCACATGACACTCCAGGCAGATTCAAATTAAACTTATGAACCCAGCTAAGCAGCTTCTCCCTTGTGTGAGCACGTCCTCTTCTCTGATTTTTTAGAAGCTGTGCTCTTTCTGGAACCCCCATCTTTGTCCATTCATCTTAAATACTTTTAGGCTCTTTTTTTCCTCTGCTGAATACAAAAAGACAATTCTCTCACCTGACTAAAACTTTGTATGACCAAAGAGTGTACCTTCTCCTCACAGACAGTGTCCAGTTAAAGAAAGGGGGAAGAATGGTGGATAAAATGAATGCAAAACCCCCTAATAATTTTGAAGACCATAGTTTCATGGAGTAAGAAGTTCAGTCTTGTTTGTTCTGTACATTTTTACAAAAGGTGTCTGTTCTCAATTTTCTTTGAGAATCTCCTCTTTGTTAAACCACAAGCGTTTCTTTTAGGAGCGTTTCTTTATTGTCATGGAAACCATCACTTCAACACTGGCATTTCTTCCAACTTTATTTAAGATAGTCAATCATGTTATACAATGTAAACATGATGCTGAGAAAACCACAGCAGATGCAGAGGAGAATAACTCATCTGCATTGCATAAGAGACATTAAACAGAAATTTGAAAAGCCTTCATACCAAAGAAAGAATTTATCCAAGAGCCTGTAATGATATAAAGAAAGGCATGTTTTAGTCGATAGAGTATTGGAATTTTGACATCAAATATAAATGATGTGATGTCTCAGTACTTAAAAGGAGATAAACTTGCTCAAAAATATTTTATGTGAACTTTAAAAATATGATACATTGCAGATACAGAGTAGTGGGATATTGCATGCTTGAGATTATAGTTTTCTGTATCCAGAAAGTCTATGGTCAATGCATAAAAGTTTTGTTAAGCATTGCCTGTTTAAATAGTTATTATTCATTTTGTTTTCTTCACATTTATATGCTGACATGTTGAATAAAAATTTGCATATTCTCTTATTTATCTTTCTATAGTAGATTTTTGATCCATAGGTGTTAAAAGTATGGATACCAGTGTGGAATAATAGACCAACTAGCCAAGCCAAACCTTAACATGTTGACACAGCAAAATTTGGCAGAAGCAGCTGTGACTTTTCCCCCTAGTCATTGATTCCATGCTTACTTACAAGTCCTTCCCACCTACAAAAATGGTTGAATTTCTGGGACTTTGTTGTTGTCCTCAAATAAAAGAAGCATCTTTTCTACATGTGTACAATTTTAAATTCAGTTGTGTTTGTTTTATACCTGTTGTCTCACATCTTTGTATTCTTCTTTGTTTCCCTGGATTTAAAACTTCCTGAATGAAAGTCTAGGATTATTCTGTGTAGTAGCCAAAAATGCATTTTAAATCCTCTTTTCGGATAAAATTTACTAGATAAAAGTGATTTGGGAGTATTTTGCTTGGTTACCAAATATTAACAGTCAGTATGCATTTGTATGGTGCACCAACATGACTCAAACATGGATATTTTAACAAAGTTAAATAAAATTATTTACAGGCAGCCTAGGTTAGTAGTGGGATTTATAGTGAATTTTACTAAACAAAGTATCCTTCTCTCCATTTGTGCTTAATTGAGAAGCATCATGTTGGCCTCCCAGTTTAGGTGTATGTTAGAGTACCAGAACAGCCTCTCCAGTCTGCATTGTACAATTTTCTGTTACATGTTTTCTCATCAAACCCCAAATCTAAAAAATAAAATGCAGTAGATTCCTGTTGAATTAATGCAATGCAATGACTTCATTTGTAAAAAATAGATGCAGGATCAGTCATTTTCTGCAAAAGAGTCAGGCTCTTCTCGAGATCTGCATGTTTTATAACATAATTAAAATATTAATTTTAGTCAACATTAATCTAACATTAACAAGCTGTAATCCATTTATAGACATGAATCAGAATCTCTGCTCATGAGTGTCTCACAAATTTTTAGGAATGAAATCACTTTTATAGGCTTTTGTTTCTCTTATATATACAAAAGTAACCCTAAAATTCAAAAGTTATACAAATGTATTTACTTTTAAAAACTTCATAATTTATTAAGATTTTCAACTACAGAATATGATTCTCTAATACATAAGTGACAAAGGAAATGTATCTTCTTATCTGTTGATTTTGTGATATTTGAAATTATTTTGAAGAGAGGGACAATAATGTGTATTTATGGGAGAAAGATAACAAGCCACATTATGATCTGCAAATGGGCTACTTACTGCAATACTAAGTTATTATGTGATTTTTTATCAGTAAAATTATCAGTGATTAATTAATTGAAATTAATTATTAAGAAATTTAGACTTTAAAATAACAAGAATTCATTCATCTACAATATTATATATTTATCTATGTTAAAATTGCAGAAATATATAACTTTATATATTATAATCCTATTTCAAACATTTTCACATAATTTAATTGTGGATGTAAATGAATGAATGTGTAATGAAAACAGTATTTTGCTGATATTAACATTTAGAAACAACATTCAGAAAACCAGAGAATATTGAAATATATCATGAAAAGGCAGCATAATAAATAAGACACGAACTCATAAACATTCACTGTATTATTACTTATGCTTAAACTGAAATTCATTTGTGATTATGGACCTCGAATAATGTTCAGCACCAGGACCACCCCAGAACAGTGGAATTAAGTTAAGTAACTTATACCTGGCAAAGAAATGAGGTTGTCAGTGTCCTGGCAGGCTGGAGTTTGCCTGAGACAACTGGTCCTTTTCCTCCCCAGCTAAAAATTTGACTGTGATGCTGAATTTTGTTCAAGAACCAGAAGTAGCTAATATTTCTAAGCATTTACATGAGCAAAATTCATAGAAGTTCTTCCCAAAGTCATTGTTAGAGCAGAAATTATGGTTTTTCAATTGTGGAGAAACTGCCTGCAAGGAGAGGTCAGCTGTTCACTAACACAACACGCATGAGTGAGGAAATGCCAGTGCAGAAGGCTAAGACCAGCTCTGTCACCTGTACCCCAGCTCTGGAGTCATCTCACTTCCACAAGTTCTGCATCCTAGGCCTAAGAAATCATATAGGCCTACCTTGTCTCTGTTTTGTCTCTTTCTCTGAATTCATAGGTTAACTGGGATGCTATAAAATTGTAGTCTAGTGACATTTGTGTGTATTAATTAATTTCAAAACAAATGTTTTTAAAAAGAGTTTGCAGATGTTTGAACTATTTAGTGTTCTGATTTACTTTACATGTCTTGCAATTAGTTCTCAGTCTTCTAATGAAATGTATTGTAGTATTTTTTTTTACACAAATGGAGCACAACTTTTCATTTCTCTGGTTGTACATGATGTACAGTCACACCATTCCTGCAATGCATTGTCATTTGATAGCTAAGCCATTTTACTTAACTAAGTTGCTTTTATGTTTAGAAGACAGCATAATTTTGGATAATGATTTTTATTTCCTAAGTGGTTGCTATTTCTACTCCAGTAGATTTCTTTAATACAATGTCTTCATCTGAATCCCTGGGACTAAGGGCAACAATATAACCATCTAAGAGCCTGGTGATTTTTGCAGACTTTTTGCAGAGAAGTCTGCTCTTCAGCTCTCACAATGGTTGCAATGATATTAATCTCAGGTTCTCATGATTGTTATGTTGGTCTGCTTCATACATTTCATATGAAAATCATAAACTTCAAGGATCTATTATTTCCATGAAATGTGATCTCTTTAAATATTATTGTAATAAAAAGTAATTCTATGAAATATACAACATTTGACTTTTTCATTCTATTGGTGGTTCTTATTAAAGTGTTTTAAGATTTTTTTTCTGATTTCCAACAGATGCATATACAACTTCAGAGGTCACTTATATTTGGACTTACAATGCATCTGACTCAGTACAGGTTGCTCCTGATGGCTCCAGGTTAAATCAATATGATCTGCTGGGCCAATCAATTGGAAAGGAGACAATTAAATCCAGTACAGGTTAGTAAAATGAGTCTAAAGAAAACCTAATGTCTGCAAAAATTAATAGGTTAAAGTTATTGGAAATGAGTCAGATTACTTAAAAACTTTTGTTCTTGAGGTCCATGAACTATCAGCTCAGACTGCTTAGAAGCTTTTTAGACATTCGGAATCTAAGGCTACAGCTCTTTCTACATTAGGACCTGTATTTTCACTAGATTTCAAGGAGATTCATGTGTGCATTAAAGTTTCAGAGACACAGGCCTAAAATATACTACGTATTCAAAAAGTGCCTGTCTTCTCAGATCAGTTTTAACATTTGTCTCTACATCTGTGATGACAACTTCCCTTCTTTTCTGATTCTTTTCCTTCTGTTCTGGATAATTTATGATTATTCAACTCTTGATTTATGGATAATTACTACTGGCCTGTGTGGAAAAGCTCATTCTCTCTCTAAGGGCCACCCTCATCTAAGAAAATAGCAGCTGTTTGGACTAATTAGCTTACATCTGGCAATAATTAAAACCCTAAGAAGAAGGGAAGGTAGATTCAAGGATCACATGGAACTGACTGAAGCAAATTGGAGCAGACACACAGCACAGAGAAATCCAGAACGGGTGGTGGGGTTGGCAGTGGGAATCTGGGCCAGAAGACTAGTCTTAGGTATGAGGCCAGAGATCAACACTTTGAAGAGCCAGGGAAGACCAAATTAGATCTATTATAACAGAAGCTGGAAGTGAATACCAGTGATAATAAGAAACCTGAGCAAGTAAGATAATCCACTGGCAGAGAGCCCTTTCAATTCTGAATCCTGTGGGTCAGCAGGCATGACCCAAAGAAAAAACATGCAATGCAAGTTTTTTGATAACTATGAAATTTGTCTTAAATGCTCGTGCAGTGCTAATGAGGGATTTCAAGTTTGGTATAGTTTTCATGATATGTATGTGTTCATTTTATTTTTTAATCAGGGACTATTCTTTCTAACATCTTTTCCATTTTCAAAATGTTCCAACTATTGACTATTACAGTTCCTTAAGCTACTTAAATTTTTCTTCCAGGTGAATATACTGTAATGACAGCTCATTTCCACTTGAAAAGAAAAATTGGGTATTTTGTGATTCAGACCTATTTGCCTTGCATCATGACTGTCATTCTCTCCCAAGTGTCATTCTGGCTTAACAGAGAATCTGTGCCTGCAAGAACTGTGTTTGGTGAGTGAATAGCTACACACGTCATAGTACAGTACATTATGTTTCAAAGCGTACTCCCCAAAATGTTCTCCTTCTTGCTTCTCACACCAGTACTTTGTGAAGCATGAGGCAGGCTGTATTGATTTCACATTGAAGATGAGGATCAGAGGTAAAATACAGTCAGTGTCAACTGTTAATAAGGCCTATAAGCTGTACTCTAATACCTCAGAAATACATTCAGTAGTTTTTCTTTTAAATCATTATTTGTTAACATTTGTCTCCGTGTTAGTATAAGAATATTCTCAGAGGTTTTAATTCAGAGCCTGAGAGTATACCATATTTCTACAAATCCTTTGTTTGTTTTTCTTTTGTTTTTAGATGAAAAAAAGATGATATTAGTATTTCCCATTAGAGAAGGGATGGAGGGAGACTTCATTTATTTCTATTACTGTGTCTGATCTTGATTGAAACCAGACAGAAGGATTTCAAATTTAGAGTCTGGAATAGCATATTTCTATGCTTTTGTGTTGTTTTAAAATGAAAAAACTATTACCTTTGTATTTTAAATAAGAGAGAGAGAGAGAGAGAGAGAGAGAGAGAGAGAGAGAGAGGTGTTCTTCATTATATTAGTGTGTTTAATATCAAAATTTACTTTCTTGATTAAAACCTATACAGGAATTTGCTTCCTATTTTGGGGACATAAGAATCATAATAAGCATATTATAACCAAGCAGAAAATCATCATATATTTGGTCCTCTCATTTATTTGGAAGAGTTTTATTGAGAATTTATTTTGTTAGATATTGTACCAGGGTTTAGAGGTCCAAGTACAGATTAAATATAGATTTACATTCAAAGAGCTTAGTATACTGGATGGCAGGAGAATAAGTGGAAAAGGGACAATGACAATACAAGGTAAAATCATTATAGAAGAAGCATGTACAAATCTTTATAGAATATGGTAACATGTATCCTCCCTAGGAGAACTAATTGAGTAATTGGATGAATGAATATCTAAGCTAAGTCTTAAAGGATGTATAGGAATTTTCCAAGCATTTAATATGGGCAAGAATTCTTGCCAAAAAGAGTAGAGGTGTTGTGTCTGGGGATATAGCTCAGTTGGTAGAGCACTTGCCTTGCACGCATAAGGCCCTGGATCCAATCCTTAGTATCAAAATAAATAAATAAATAAATAAATAAAAAGGTAGAGGTGAAGTGACATTGTGGGATGTAAGAACATGGTATATTCAATGACTACTTCTGTGTCAGTAAAGGTGCCGAGAGAAAGCTAGTTTGAGGCCTACATGAGAGTGGCCCAATAGGCCCTATTAACAGAATGTGCTTTTATCTTTTAGGATACACAAATCATCACAGTGTTTTGAGACTGTATCAGTAAAGCTCTCAAAACAATGTTTTTCATTTAGTAAGTATTATACAATTGTAAGCTATTCTTTTTTTTCTACCTACTTTATTGAATTATGATTGACATGTACAAAGGTATGCATAGATAATATATACAACTCAATGAGATTGGGAATTAATACACACTCATGAAACCATCACCACCATCAAGGCCATGGATCTATCTATAACCTACCAAAGTTTATTCTTACCTCCTTTATTGCTGTTGTTGTGTGTGCATGTGTGTGTGAGCACGCATGTTGGGGGCCTAAGGACACATGACATAAGTTTACACTCCTGGCAAACTTTAAATATACTATAAAATATTGTTAGCTATAGGCATTGTGCTATACAGTAGAACTCATTCTGGAGATCTTATCTATGTTGACAAAATAAAGGTATTCTTCTAGCCATTAATATGATCCTACTTGTATTTTAGGAAGATATGGCATCTTCCGGGAAGATGAGTTGGAATATGGAAGTAACCAAAGGCAGATTGCAAGGTTAGGAGACTACTGACATAGTCCAGATGAGACATAATTGTTACTCCCAAGAAGACAGAGCAACAAAGGAAGGGGGATTGGATGAAAGGAGGCTAGGGAAGAGAATCAATAGATTTGGTGAAATATATAGCAACTACATAAAAAAAATTTTAGAATATTTTTTCAGTTTTTTTCTTGGCCATTTTAAGTGAATAATGATGCCATTAATAAAACTAAAGAAAAATGAGAAATAGGGAAAATGAATATAGTTTGAGTTACGTGTATTTTGAAGTTCTTTGTAATATCAATTTGATGTCTAGTAGACCAATAGAAATAAGTATATGGAGCATAAATGAATAGTAGGGGCTGTTGAAAATCATGGTATTCATTAGCTATGAGCTGAAAGAAGTTACAGAACTTGTCTAGAACTTGTCTCCCAGATTAAATAGGTGGTTGAATGAGAAATGAGAGGACAGCATCCTTAAAATTATTAAAATGGCAGGATTTAGAAAATTTAAGAAAGCTGGAATGATCAGAAAATTAGGAAGTCAGAAGACAATAAAATTGAAATATCAAATACACGCACACACACATGGCCATTTTGGATATATGGTATTATATCAATACAAATAAGTACAAACTGCATTAAAGAAATTTGAGTAGTAGAAGCTTACTAATACTAATGAATTAAATGAGAAAAGTTGCTCTGAACTAAAAGCAGATTAAAATGGGAATGAGAAGTAGAAAAATAAGGAGCTGAATGCACATTAAAATTTGAAGAGGAGAAAGATTAAGTTATCAAAAGAGACAAGTGGGTAGTTGTTATTGTTAAACCATAATTATCATGAATATATCATTATTAACATGGAAATTTGAAAAGCAGGGCAATACTTTATGCCAAACTAAATGTTAGGCATGTCACATACTTCTTTACTTCTTATGTTGATCTTGAAGTAGAATTTAACATCTTCCCTTTTAGAGAGAAGAGTCTTTAAAATTTGAAGTATCTTCCCCAAGTCCTGGAAGCAGAAACTTATTGCAAAGCTTATGTTTCTTCAACTACATTATGTTGCCTTCTTAACTCTCTTTTAAGGGGGAGGAGTTAGGAAGAAAAAAGATTGAAGATATAGGAGGAGGAATTTCAGATGAGCAATTAGCTAAAGAAAATGCTTGGGATCAGGCTGAGTGGACATCAAGGAGGAACTTTGCCTCCCTATCCCTAGAATAATGGGTCCCAGATGGGCAGTGTTAGTGCTTTCCTCTTTACAAATCTTGGCCTATTTAACAAACACACAGATGTTTCTTAATCTTGGAAAAACACCTTACATTATTACATTATTAGAGGAAGACGTTTTATTAGAGACTGTAACACTAATTATAAACATGATTTATATTATAAATAATCTCAAGCAATAATGTGTTAAAATTGCAAACAAGTTATACATTATTAATAGCAGAACTTTTTTTGTGTGTGTGTGTGTGTGTGTGTATGAGTTTGTTTTCAGTGCTGGGAACTAAACCCAGCACCTCACACGTGATATGTATGCACTCTGCCACTGAGCTACACTCCCAGCCCTTATAGCAGAACATTTTGCAGATTAGATTTGATGGAAAAATTTTAGAAAGAACTAAACAAACACACATATATATAGTAAACAAGTAGGGTAAGAGGAAAGAATGGAGAATGAAATAAAAAAGCAATATTTCCTTTAAAATGTACTCACCTATATATGAAAATAGAAATATTTCAAATATGAATTTTAATTCAGGATATATCTGAAAAATAAAATATGACTTAGGATTATTAACATCTACTACTACAATGCCAACCATTTTTTGCGCTAGTATCACGTACTTATGATCAAGTAATTCTAGTTCATTATACAGAAATTGAAATAAATTTACGTGGTATTTTATATAAGTTTGTTGCTTTCCACATACATGCTTTATTGAATATTTTGTGCTCAGTGAATAAGTGATTGATATTTGAATAACCACTAGTTTAATTATATAGAACAATATTCATAATATATATGGTTCTTTAAAAGCTGTGCATTGAAGAAACAATATAGGGACACTATATTATAGAAATGCAACTTAGGGCTTGTAAGATTTTGTAGGAAATTTCAAGAGAACAATGGCCTTCAATTTGAATGGATACATAATTTTCAACATGAAGTAGTATGATATATTAATACATTGATGTTTGCACCCATCAATGTGCCAAAGAGTTCTAAAAAGCTCCATCTTTCTCTTGTGGTGCTTTATATGTTAATATTGTGGCACTGATCACATTTTATTACATTTATTCTGTTTACGAACATGTCCCGGTCTTCAGAGAATTTCTACATACAGTTATTACCATAGAGCTTGGAACATCATAAATGCTATAAAATATACCATGAATGCATAACATATAACTGAATGGAGGAGAAATTAAGTTATCTGTGGCAATGGACAACTCCTCAATGTTAAATTTACTAAAGAAATAGTATCAGAAAATAAGAATATGTTCAACTCTAAGCATAAACAAATGTTTCTACTCTTTTGTATACAACAAAGCAGAACAAAGTCAGATAAACATATAAATGTATACAGACTGTATCTGTAAGAAGTCATGTTAGAAGAACTAACAGAACATGTAGGAGATGTGAACAAAGAAATTTAACAAAGAGATGGACACAATTATAGAAAATTAATATGGGCAGAGTGAAAATGCCTGTTGGTCAGCTTTTATTAGTATGGTCAAAATACCCGACAAGAACAATTAGAGCAAGAAATGCTTAATTGGGGACTCATGGCTTCAGAGGTTCAGTCCAAGGACAGCTGATTCTATTGCTGTGGATGTTAGAAGAGGCAGGACATTATGGAGAAAGGGCATGGCAGAGGAAAGGTGTCAGTTCATGGAAAGCAGGAAGCACAGAGAGCAGGAGAACCTGAAGATAAAAGATATGATCCCCAAGGATACCCCCAGGGACACATTTCCTCTAACTATTGTAGTCACAGTTGTCACCTAGTAATCTATTCAAAATATTAATCCATCAAATGGATTTATCCACTGATTCAGTTCAGCTCTCATAATCTAATCATTTCACTTCCTGCATTAACCTAAGAGCTTTTGGGGGACACCTTATATGC